AGCATCGTTATTGTACGAATTGGTCAGAAAAATTCAGAAGGGCTTCCTTGCGCCCTCTTGGATTGCCTTATCTGAATAATCACGAAATCAATTCGAGGTACTGAGCAGACCAATCGATCCAAATGAAGAATTTGTGTTTAGCATAGCATATGGTTATGGCAGCACCAAACTGAACAGACGATTCCACCTAATTCTGAACATTTCTCCAAAATAATTAATTCTTCTTCTGTTAAAGTTGTCGATGATTTCAACGCAATATGCATCTATTCTTTAGGATATTTTCCATCGTATAGAGTGGCAAAATACGTTGAATGTGGCTTGCATAATTTTATAATCGGAGATGATGCGATAGAAACCTGAAAATGAGAGATTCGAGTCAAAATACAAGAAACTAATTCAATTGATTCATATATTATATTGATCTGTTAACCGAATTCATCGAAAATCACTTGAACGAAAATAAAACGAAGAAGATATGGTAGCACGATTCTATCCTGAGACCATCAGCGAATTCAGCGAGTTTGCTATCTAGAGTGGTATCCTTTCGCTCTGAACTGACTGACACATTCCACTTGATTCGAAGTGAATCAGTTAAAATGCATTGAATATCATCAAGTCATTCGGAAGAACGCATATTAAGTGATTCAATGCAGTTCTAGGAAGATATTTCAGTTAGTTCAGTTTGAATGAATATCACTCATGTGACCATCGCAACTATACAACAAATGAGATATAAACACAAATATATTTTATGCCTGGTGTGAGAAATATCAAGAGAACTCTTTTTTCATTCGTTATTTCGATCAGAAAAAATTCTATATAATTATGTATGTGCATCATTCAATTTTGTGCAGTTTTCTGTATACTTCACACCAATTAGTCAGGAATATAATTGCGGTAAAAATATATTCTGGAGAATATCGTTTTTTATTTCTAATGTCAAAAGGTCATTTTGTATCATTTGTAGCAAGCTAATATATTCTAAATCTAGTATTTGATGAATTGCAATGCTCCTTTCATTTTATCCTGATATTCAACCTTAACAAATCGATTCATTCGATTGGCAGTAACGATGTTCAACCCAAACAAATTTCATCGACATCAAATATATCCCTTATAACACAATAATCCCCCTATTAGGACGTCCTGTCGAGACATTCGGGACGTCCATAGGACGTTCGAATATGGTACCTTGGACTTCCATTGGACGTCTGTGGGACGCACAAATGTCCCACTTGAAGACGAACTAGGGACGTCCTTGAGGGATGTCCCTGAAAAAATTTATCGAATACCTGAATCCTACAGTATTCCTCATCAAGCACTACGGAGGACATCCTTAGGGCATCCGTAGGTCAACCTATCAGCAACGCTGAGGGATATCAATTAGATGTCTATGGGATGACCCAAGGACTTACGGATTATTCTTGAATTTGGAGTTTTCTGGGTCCCTCTAGGATCAGATTTTGCATAACTGATGAGGACATCCACTTGAGTTGATGGTCCGTAGAAGGTTCCCAATAGATCCTGAAAAAGTTTCCCAAGGATATATAAACTCTTTATTAGCATCATGCTCTTCACAGCGACTAAAAACATACATACACAGTTTCAATTACCATACTAAAATAAAAATAAGAAATAAGTAATAAGAACTATCACACTAGTACAAGTCTTAAGATTAATTAAATAAGACAACACAGCTTACATGTAGTCAACTCATTGTCTAGTCTTCAATCTGGCATATGAGTCTTCACATATTCACAACATTCTTTTTTAAATAAACATATGGATGGTATTTTTTTCAATTCTGTTGGTAGATTGTTAAACAAGATCAATACTTTACTAAATATTATTCCTGCTTTCAAATTAGGGTTAATATAAAAATCATTAGTATCTTTCGTACGTGTGTTATAGGTATGGATATCACTTATATATGTCAGCTGATCTGAAAGATAGGTTGGTAACATATTGTTCTTCAATTTATATACGAACAATAGCATGTTGTAATCTATTCTTTGTCTAATTGTCATCAATGATAGAGTATTCAACATTTTCCTAATTTGTGTTCGCCTATTACAATTTAATATTGCCCTCATGGCCCTATTTTGTAATTTTTGGAATATATTCATTTTTTCATTATTTAGAAAAAATAGGATGGTGCTACAATAATCAAAATGAGGTGCTATGACACTTTTGTATATTGTGAGTTTTGAAAATTCAGATACTTTGTTATTCAATCTATAAAGGTAGTGTATTTTTTTTGCCACTTTCCTTTTTATATAGTTTACATTTGCGTTCATATTCAATTCTTGGTCCAATATTATGCCTAGATATTTGAATTCCTTGACTTGTTCGATTTCCTCATTTTCAATGTTTATATGAAATTTGAAATTTTCATTTATCATCTCAACCTGTCCTTTGTTACCTATTAGCATGAATTTACTTTTTTTCACATTGAGCTTCAATCCATTATTACATAACCAAGTACTAATGTTTGTAAGATCCTTATTAAGATTGTTTTCTATTTCATCTGTTGTTCCTGAGTAATATAACATTGTGTCATCTGCGAATAGTTTTATTTTACATTTCGTTATTTGTGTAGCTATGTCATTAATAAAGAGAATAAATAATATTGGACCAAGGATTGACCCCTGTGGCACTCCATTTTTTATTTTGAGTATTTCTGAGAATTGGTTATTATATTTTACAACTCGTTCCCTGCCTTTCAAGAGGCTACCGAACCATTTCAACACATTACCAGTGATGCCATATTTTTCTAATTTTTTTAATAGTAGATCTACTTTGATTGTTTCAAAGGCTCGTTGAAAATCTAAGAATACAACACCTATTAATTTCTTTTCAGCAATATCTACTTTCCACCAAGAGATCAGTAGTTGTAATGCAGTTTCACAAGAATGTGACTGTCTGAATCCTGACTGTTGTGTAATTAAAATGTTGTTGTTTTTTATATACATTAACAATTGTTCTTTGACTGCAAGTTCCAGAAGTTTTTCATATACTGGTAGTGTATTGATTGGTCTAAACTCTGAACATATTACCGTGTTTCTTACTTTTTGAATGGGATTAATGGTAGATACCTTCCAGTCATTAGGAAATGTTCCTTCACTCAGTGATAAATTTATAATTTGTAAAAACCAGTTTTCAGCTACCTCTATAGCTAGTTTTATTAAGTTCAGATTTATTCCATGTCTATCTGTAGTATTTTTTTTCAAAGATGATAAGATTAGTTTGAGATCAGCCATTGATAACTGCCTGAATTCCCCAAAATTTGGTAGAAATTCTGGAATAAAACTTATGGTGTATTCAGTATTATTCCTTGGTTTTATTTTTTCACTTATTTCGCATATACTCTTGATGAAGTATGTGTTAAAAGCGTTTGCAATATGTCTATCATTTTTTTCAACTTTTTCTTCAAATTGGATATATGATGGATTCTGACCCTTCTTTCCATTGAGCAACTCTTTTAATGATTTCCACATTGCTTTTGTATCACTTCTATTCTCGTCAATTTGTTGGTCATAGTATTTTCTTGTTTCTAATCTCATTTCACTAGTAACGTTATTCCTCACCTTTTTATATTCATTCCAATCATTTTCTGCCCCTGTTAATTTTGCTTGCCTGAAGAGCCCATCCCTATATTTCATTTTCTCCATTAACTCATCAGAAAACCATACATTTAGTTTAAAATTATTAAATGTTTTATGTTCTTTCCAAGGACAAAATATATTTTATTTTTGAACCAGAAGTTCCACCAAATTCCTTGATAAATCATGGATGTTGAGGTTGCCATCAATAACCAAGTTTAAATCAAATAAAGACATTTGGAAATTTATCTTATCAAAGTGCTTGAAATCCCTCCTTACTATAATATTATGTGGTTTGTTTGATTTTAGTTTTTGACTATTATTATGCAGTGATATAATAATATTGGAATGATCAGATATTTTAGCAATATCTGTAACTTGGTGATGAATATCTTCAACATTTGTCGCCACGTAGTCAATCAAGGTAGCAGAATTTTTAGTCACTCTCGTATTATCTTAAACTACTTGCTTGAGTCCTAGGTACATGAATAGTTCATTCATTTTACGACTGTAAGTTTGATCTAAATTGAGATCAATATTAAAATCCCCTACAATAATTATATGATTTTTTTGGCACGCCAATTCTTCCAACTTATCTTTCATAAATTCAATGAACTCATTATGAGAAGCATTTGGCGAGTGGTATACACAGCATATAATATACCAATCACTAACAATTTGCACTTTTATTGCAGCTATCCAGATATTCATAATTATCCTATCAACCATAATTTGTTTAAATTTTAAATCATTTTTTACATATATAGCAACCCCACCGGTGTGTCTACTAAATGAATTACATAATACCGAGTTGTAACCATTGATTTGTGTTTCGTGTTGCAATAGCTCATCTGTTACATGCGTTTCCGATAAGCAAATGATCCATGGATTGTGACAATGAATACTATACATAACATTATTAAAATTTCTCAAGAGACTTTGACAATTTGCATATACTATGTGACAAGTAATGTAACTGGCATTTAGTTGTTTAATATTTCTGAAAAAGTATCTGGTTTTTGTACCTGCTTTTGTGTGATTTGTTTATTCGTATTTAGACTAGGGAAGTCTAAAAATTTTTGACCTTTAACAAAATTAAAACGCTGATACACTACACCTTTGGGCCACAGGGAATCGTCATAAACGTTTTGTTGGTATTTAGGATCCACACCGATTAAGTAGCAATTATTGTCTTTGACTTGATAGTATGTCTCCACCTTTTTGACCTCTACATCATCAGGAACTGCCTTCAAAGCGTTAGTTAGATACCTTTGTATTTTTTCCGGTGCTGCATTATCTTTGACTTTTTTTAAAAAAACCCAAATTTTTTTTTCTTCATAACTGCACTTCCCTCAAAACAGTCATCAGGTTCAATGGACGGGCTGCTGTCCGCAGTACCTACTCTTCCTATTCTTCTTTTTCTTTTAACCTGTTTGAAACCATCAGCATTATGACTATTCTCAGCAATTTCTGATGAGGCACCACCAGAGTGTGAAGCAATAGGGGCCTCTGGATCACCTAGAGTAATAAGTCTATCCATTGCATCTCTCTGCGTCTGCCTGAGCGTTTCATATGTTGTTTGATTAGATTCCTTTGAAATTTTATTTTTATTTGCCGCTATACCAGGTTGAAGGTTGGGGGCTATGTTTATTGACAGTTTGTTTTGAGGACTAGAAGTATTATTTGATTTTCTTGATACCCCACTATAAGATGATTTTACCTCTTTTTCTGTACTATCGAGTTTAGTTTTTAGATCCCTGGTGAGTGTTTCTAGTGCACTGTTTACTCGCTTGGATTTTGAAGTATTCTCCTCAATTATATTGTGAAGAATCTTGTTTTCAGCTTGTATTTCGCCTAATTTGTTCATTATGTCCATAAGTTGACTGGAAAACTCCTTCTTCATAATGAAAATTTGTTGGTCCATTTCCCGTTTAATAATATTTTTGGTTTGAATTAGATCAAGAAAATGTGGCCTACACTCTGGGCATAGAAAGATCATGCGTCTTTGTGATAGGTCGATAACTTTAATTTCAGACGCAGTTAGTTGACTGCATTTTCTACATATAATGTTGTTGCAATACTCACAGCAACACTGATTTTTCACCTCCTGCGACACTGCTTCCGTGCATATTGCACATTTAGTAGGCATATTTTTCTATTAATAAATGTAGTTTTCTCCCTTAGAAATAACAAAGACTCCGCCACTGGAAGAGCTTCTATATGTTTACGTTTTTGGGCCAGACCAGCAATTTGTTTTTTGCCCGTTTTTTTATTCCAATCACGCTTTTATAGGTTACATCTAATCCATTTTAGAGTTCATTTTTTGTAGCTGTTGCACCGAAAAACTGTATAGTTCAACACCTGCATAGTCACTTGAAAGACTCACATGCGAAATTTCAGAAAATAATTTTCACTTTTTCTATAACTTTCGAACACTTTAATGACTGGGATCATCGGAGCGTTGTCGCGTTTACTAACATCCAATGGACTTGAGTGAAGGACATTGACAGAGAGTATTCATAGTCTACGAGCAATCATTCGTCGGCGAGGTGTAATTTCACGTCTTCGCAGGGACAACATATTGGGAGTACAGTTCATGTACCAATTGGGACATCCGACGAAGATCCCTAAGGGACATTTCGATCTTGGAAACATTAAGGGCGTCTGGGCAGAGATATTTGAATGAATGTACCATTTAGGACATTACATGGTTGTATAGAAGGGACATTATATAAGATCTGAAGTCATGCCAGAGTATGTACTACTCGGAACATCCGATGGATGTCCCTAAAGGAACGTTTAAAATCATATCCCATCAGGGACATGCCAAGGACGTCCTTGCATGGACATTCTACAATATATACCACGGGGGACGTCTGAGGGATGCTATTTCTAGGACATATGAAATGATGTGCCCGCTGGGACATTCCGTGGACGTCCTTGCTCGGACATTGCATGATATTCACGGGATGGGACGTCCTAAGGACACGTATTTATGGTCCAGGACATTCGGACTTGAATTCTACCAAATAGGGACGTACCTAGAACGTTGTGTGCTATCAGGGATAGGATTTGAATAAACCCATATTATTCTCATCTCGAGTACCGACTTCTTTCTGCATAAAAACTCTTTTGTGGCAGATTAATAGTTGAATTATCGCTAAAGCGAGTGTTGGTTCATGCGATAATTCAATTATTGCAAGAAAAAAACTTTCAGCAACAGTCATATAAGTTGTTATTCATGAAATTCTCAAAAATTCTATACTATCCCAGATTGGCTGCCTGATAGCGATATCAATACACCAATTTGTGCCTTTGGCAGAATCTTTATGACTGCCATAGAATTTCAGTGTATTGCTTCCATTCGCAAATGCGTAATTGTTATAGGATTTTTCATAATAGAGGCAAGAAATAGCGACATTTTTGATGACGAAATTTTCCTCAGTGCCAGGTTCTGTCTATATTAATGGCAAATATTCACAAATTAGCGTTATTTAAATTTGCATCTCTCATTGCTGATGATCCTTTAGTACCAAATCAATGTTGTCTCATCTACATGATCGCATAGGAATTAAAATAAAGGTTCATTAGGCATAGATGGTATTGGACTAATTAGAAAGCACACTAACACTGATCCAATAACACTTCATCCTAAGGCAGCATGCACTAAGAAGTATTGTTGTCCCTTTCACACCTCGAAATAACAATAAAAACCATCTTAATGGGAAATCTTAACTACCCACGTGACTATTAATACTGATAAAGCTTATAGGCCATGAATGCCCTCTATTGGGATCGTAAACAAAGAAGTTTTCATGACAATGACTCATGAAGTGATAGTATATTCCTAAAGAGCATATTTTCTCAAAATTTTTCATGGAAACAGTGAAGTGAACAATATCAAAATATCAAGAACTCGAGTTATGATTTGGTTTGAACAGACTTGAGTTTATCATTTGCCATGAGGTACTTCCACAGCAACAAGAGAGAATATATCCTTGTTGAGTAGAGTTCACAAAAGCCGAAAAACAGAGTATGATATGTCATGCAAGACCTTGCGCGATCTAGTAGATAGTAGATAATCAAAATATGTTGGCCCTCATCTCCATAGAAAATAGCAAGATAATTTGTACATATTATGTTCTATGAGATGACAACATACAGTGTGTTCTCTCAAAATTCAAAGTGATGACACAACTGCAGGTTAATCGAGAAGGTGCTTCATTCATTTTACTTGATTAGTTGGAATTTTCTCTCCTCGTTTCTATGAAATGAAATTATGGAAAATATTTCAATATATAAGCATAATATGTGTAGTAGGACGAATCAGATGATTCATTTAACAAATTTTTCAAACCGGAAACCTGGAAGAAAAATCCAATAGCTAGTCAGTGACTCTGTTTGGAAAAATGTTTGGTGAGAAGAAATATAATAATATATTGAAATGAATCGAATTTTTACTTATCTTTCGACGTTTCGGGAACGACTTTGCTCCTGTTCTCAACATAGAAATGCAAATTATCTTCCTTCGAATATTCAGTTCTTATAGTTTGACACTTCTCAATGACATAATGATGTTGGTATATGGATGAGTGACGATGTTAGTATACAATTGAGTTACAAGATGTTTGCATGATTTGATCATGAATCTACCGTTTTTATGTTCAGTTTTCAGTAGTGAATACCATGTTTTATCTATATCAACTGAACAGGAAGCAACGCTATTGTCTCCATTCAGGAGGAAGCAAGCGAATTCCTTGATTTTTCTCTTTTGGTTGTTTTATTCCTTTCCTATGGTTTCAATATTATTCCAACTTTTGTTAATCACTTGGAGCGCACGATATGAAATCCCTATAATGTTCAAAGAACATCGTGAGATCCTAGGGATATGATTAGTTAGCTTTGATATATCGCCATATCTTTTCTTGATTTTGTACTTGATGTGATCTTCCATACATACTAACTGAGAGAGGTCAATTCGTTTCACCAGTATAATACGTACACATATACTCAAGTTATACTATGGATACAATTTTTTGATGATTGTTCTTCGATTTCTGGTTTTGTCTGAGTCAGAATGGATCTAATTGTATTTTCAGCTCTGAACACCGTTTTCACTTGGAACTTATCACTAACAAGTTTCATTTTTTCATAAATGCTGGGTACGGACGGTATTATATTCGGCGCTATATTGATGGTTGTTTTTGTTGTGGTGTATTCTGTTTGTTTCTGTTTTATTTTCCTGTTCCATTCGAATTTAATAATTGTGTCAGTTATATTAATTGTTTTAATAGTTTGAACTGAATTCGTTTTTTTATGCATGAATGAATTAGAATAAATGAGTTTCCAGAAGTTTTGATTGTATAATTATCCAAGCAAAATCTATGGAACTCTATTTATATTCGATGAGCTATTATTCGTTACTTATTTCTACTTCCTGTTTGCTAGTTTTCTCAAGACTTCAATTAATGAAGACAGTTTTATTGCCGTCAATCATAATATATATTCGAAATAAAAACTTCGGGACCAACCATTTCGTATTACGTTGAGAGAATATTTGAGTATCTCACATTCACATGAAAACAATAATAATTGTTAAATGATTTTCCAAAAATAGCTCTAGCCATTTCCATCAGAATCAATACCTATCTGAAAGGATTGGTTATCTTGAAACCATATCATAATTCTGCTCAAGTTCTTGCTGATTCAATGCACCCAAAATACTTCAATCAGGTCATAAAATGCTAATAAGTAGATCGACATTGTGCCTGAACGGTGAATAGTATACATGGGCTCAAACAAAATATACCAATAAAGCTCAAGAGTCGTTACGATCTATTTGGGCATCAGTGTACGTGGCACGATTCATATTGTCACCATGTCAGCATTCTGAACCGTCTTCGTCTTCAGGTTCATCCCAGAACATGCCCTGAGTGAAATAGTGATTTGAGGTAGGTGGAAAAAATCATTATTTCGTTTACGTTATGATTTTTTTTATTTGTGTATTTATTTGACAATGTCAGGTATCGTCGGTCTAGAAATGACTATTACAGTAGCTAAAAATGTAAAAACTGTTTCAATTGAATTAAAAAAAACTCAAAGTCATTTCAATACATAGTTCATAAAATGCACAACATTGATTCGAAAGAAAAAAGGACTACTTTCCTGGATGGTGCCACGCAGAACAATGAATTACATCCTCTCGAAATCTATTCATCGACTCGTATAAACGAATACTGATACAAGTGATTTTTTTCTGGATGCCTATTGATTTCGATTTAGCCAGGCCACACTAGATACCTACAGACTGGTTTCGAGCTCTTTGACTCTCATTAGTGCTGAGCAGTTTCAAGCCAGAAGTCCTAAGACCGCCGACAGAGTGTAGATTTGCCAAACAAAGATCAGTTCGGCATTATATTCCCTCAGAGGTGTCCTCCATAGACAATATGAGAACAACGCCATCTGAGTAGAGAAGAAGGAGAGAAACACTCCAATACCAAAATCTTTATACGGGGGTGGCTGGTTACCCGACTGGCGTGATTTCAAGTACGAAATAGCGACAATGTTCAAAGTGGGAGGAAGTGATGAATGAATACGAAAAGCTCTGAGTCATTTTCACACAATGTTCATGAAATTCCCAACAATGGTAGACTTTGGGAGAAGAACAACGTAGAACATTGAATAAAATCCTCCCGAAACCAATGTGCATGGAGTCTTATAAACGAATACTAATTCGAGTGATTCTTGCCTGAATACCTATTGATTTCGATTAAGACAGGCCACGCTAGACTCCTGCAGAACGGATCCGAGCTCTTTGACTCTCATCAGTGCAGGGCAGTCTCAAGCCAGCAGTCCTACGACCTCCTACTGTTTGAATCAGCCTCACGATTTTTTTCAATCACTTATTCATCTCTTCCCTTGGTGCGCACGAAAAGGAATTCCTATGATGTTTGAGGAACATGGTGCGTACCTAGGAAGAGAAGGTGAGAATTTTGTTTCGACTTGCTTAGGCAATGGATTCCAGAGCTTTTCCTTTCTATGGAGGAACGAGTTCTGATACTGCTGTTCAATATATTCCGAGGTTGACAACGAAATAATGTGCTGACACCGCTTGCCGGGTTCTTCTGGCTGGCAGATTCCTGGAGAACAATTCATTTCATATTTGTTGAAATTCAACAGTGAACTAGTACACAGTGAACCGTACCCAGTACACAGTGAACCATCCCTTATAACACAATTATGCTCCATGAATATCCTCAGGACGTCCTGTCGGGACATTCAGGACGTCCATGAAACGTTCGAATTTGGTACCTTGGACGTCCATTGGACGCATAAATGTCCCATTGGGACGCATAAATATCTCACTTGAGGACCAACTAGGGACGTCCTTCAGGGATGTCCCTGGGACAACTATCGAATACCCAAATCCTACAGTATTCCTCATCAAACACTACGGAGGACATCCTTAGGACATCCTTAGGACATCCGTAGGACTACTTTCCAGCAACGCTGAGGGATATCAATTGGATGTCCCTAGGATGTCCCAGGGACGTACAAATCATTCGTGAATTTGAATTTTTCTGGGTTCCTCTAGGACTAGATCTTGCATAACTGATGAGGACATCTAGTTGAGTTGATGGTCCGTAGAAGGTCCCCAGTAGATCCTGAAAAAGTTTCTCAAGAATGTCCGATAGACTTACGTGAAGGACATTGACAGGGAATATTCATAGCCTACGAGCAATCATTCATCGGCGAGGTGAGTAAACGCCCTCGCAGGGACAATATATCGAAAGTATCGTCCGTAGGACGTAATTTCTAGGACATTGGATGAGTACAAATCATGTACCGATTGGGACATTCGACGGATATCCCTAAGGGGCATTTGAAGGATGTCCCTAAGGAACATTTCGATTGTTATACGTTCCTGGAAATATTGAGGGCGTCTGTGCAGAGATATTTGAAGGAATGTACTATCAGAGACATTTCATGGTTGTCTAGAAGGGACATTATATAAGATCTGAAGTAATGCCTGAATATGTACTACTCAGGACATCCAATTAATGTCCCTAAAGGAACGTTTGAAATCATATCCCATCAGGGACATGCCAAGAAAGTTCTTGCATGGACATTCTACAATATGTATCACGTGGGACGTCTTAGGGATGCTATTTCTAGGACAGTCGAGATGATGTACCAGCTGGGACATTCCGTGGACGTCCTTGCTCGGACATTGCATGAAGGAAGAGAGTGGTGCTCAAAGGAGTATTCGGAAATGTGACTAAGCGGAAGAGACAGGGCTGTGGCATGTGTTTTCAGGATATATGGATATACATGGATGGAAAATGAATTACTTCTAGAGAATTAGGAGATCTGGGGCATATGATAGGAGGTAGTGGCTACTCACATGGTGGTGTGAAAGTTTCTCCGAATTTTCTGGCTAGGGCTTCTGCAGCTCCGAAGTTTGAGTCGCAGATTGTTCCATTATCCCGAATGATAGGTGTAGATACTTTGGATGTAAGTTGACTTCGAGTGTACTTTGAGATTGCTTCCGTGCCTTTTTTCACAAGGTTTGATTTATAACGTTGTTTGGCTTTCCTGATGTCCTCGGAGTGTGCATTGGAGAAAGAACGGTGAACATCGTGGTCGTGAGGATCGCCTGTTTCTTTGTATTTGTGCCAAATTTTACGTTTCCTGTGGGCTAGTTGAATGAGTTGATTGTCGATCCAAGGTTTTCTAGTATTTGTTTTCTGTTCAACGAAATATGTCGATCTGAACATGTTCCATTTAGCATCAACATCAGGACAGTGATAGATGGAATTCCATTGAATATTTCTCAGTGTCCTTGAGAGATCAGCATGATTTATCCTAGTGATTGTTTTAATATTAAACTGCTTATTATGAAGATGAAGCAAAGGCAGGTTCTGTGGGACAAGTCCACCGAAAAGTTTGAAGATAGACAGAAGACAAGAAAACTGAAGAATGAAATTATGGAATCGGCATTCTGAAATATTTGAAAAATGTCCTCTCGTCTGCTCTTTACGAAACGAATAATGTGTAAACTGCTCCCACTGCTTTTCGTTCTCCCATTGATGGATAAATCCACAACTTGCTAGCTTGTGCCTTCTTATATTCTCGAGGTCTGTGCAAGGCGTACGCAACCACAATTTTCTTGCAGAGATCCATGTGCACCACTGTTCAAACTCAATCCGGCACTGCGTAAATTAATATAGACTGGGGCACCACCGTCTCCCGTGTGCAAACCATACACAATTTTTCTGCCGGCCGGCAGAATCATCGCCCGGCGAATACACCGCTCGTGTGCGAGGGCCATTAGGGTCCTCCATCTTTCGACCCTTCGAGGGACCGTGGTCCGCATGTTGCCGACCGTACATCCAAAGTTCCGACACTGTTGACTTAGTTCTCACATGGGTATGGCTGCGGAAGATATGGTGCAACCTAATGATGAGATCGATTTAGATAAAGTCCCAGCTATGGTCGTATCCTACTTACAGATATCCATTGGTGTGGGTAGGATATTTTTCATTCATACAAAACTCACGTGCGGCTTGCGTTGAGATTTGAAGAAAATGCGAATAATAAAACATTTCAGGTAGGCTCTTTATACGCGGAATTCAACCATGTGAAAATATCAACAAATATGTTCAATTCCGAAATAAAAATAGTCACTTATTTCAAACTCAATCGATTTGTTGAATGAATGTGTAAACATTTTGTCAAAACTTGAAATATCTTAGGGATATCCTTGGAATACACCGAGTGAAAATCCACCTTGCAATATTCATCCATCGAGAACTGGATGAGCCAAATGACTAGAAAAATAAATGTATAAGCTTGACTTACAATTCAATCTTGAAAAAGCCTGTCACCCATCAGTGTCAGTCAAATTAGAATTTATCAATAATACAGATTCGAATGGTAACTAGGAAATCGTAGGTGTTTTATTTTGTGACATGTGTATATTTCCTTGTCCAAATACCTCATTATTCTTGGAAAAGCATCTATACAATACATGAAGGCACTTCTTCAGGATATCGATCTCAAGTTCTCTAAAAGGTGACCACGGGACAGTTGATTCCGAAATTTTGAAGGCATCTGTATTCCTTATGAATTTATTATTCGAACAATACACCTCGTTCACCTAACTTTCGAGAATTCCGAAAAACTCTCGATTGTCTCTCAAGAAATGATAATCCAATTTCCGAAGATGCATTCCTATTTTTATATACATACATATACTATATCAAATAGTAACAGCATTCATCGTGCTTCAACAAATTGACATGAATTCAAAAACGCATGTTTCACTTTATCTTGATAATTCTCCCACCTGTATATCACTAGTATAGTTGATTGGTAACATATATACAGCAAACTGCACCAAAATAGGCCAGGACCATAACTTTTGAATCATTGGACCTAAGATTTCGGAATTTGATTGGTAGTAAGTATACCGAATTGTTCATTTAGTGACAGGAAATATCAACTTTCTTACTGATGGTACAAACAGAAGTAACCCCAATTTTCTATTCTCGAATAGATCAACCTAATAAGGATAGGGAACGAAATACGTACAGTAGAAGAATACTGAGGGAATAAGGCATCTTATGACCAATGTCCTCCTAGGATGTACAAAGAATTCATCACTTCGCTGTTAGATTCACCTTCTAATATGCTATTAGCTGTAATAAATGACGTGAACAAATTCATCCCAGAAGATTTGAATCCTACAGAACAGGAATATATTGTTAAGTGAGAGATCCAGATTGAACAGCGTTTTACATGAAGTTGGCATCAAATGTAAAGAACTTTCAGTTATGATTTATTCTGAAATTCGGCTTGGGCATTGAGTTTTGCATAAAAAGAGATGGAAAACTACCTACTTGGTCAGAATTACGTGACTTCCGTGTTGGGAGTTGATTTCACACCAATCGAATCGCACTATTGACGCTATGAAACTCCAATGAATTTTTACTAACCTTCGAGCTGAACCTTCGAGCATGACTGTGGAGCACTACACCTGCCTACCTGGATGAACGAATTGAATCGAGAATCAATGTCCTCATTCATTCTGACTCAGTTCTCTTCACTTCTTGTGGACCATAAAAAAAGCTTTATGAATCCCAAATGATAGTTTTGAGCACTTGAAGAATGTTGTATAAATATTGGTAATGTTATCAAAATTTATGTGTTTATATTCCTTTCTAGTAACCAACATCAACCTGAGATATGCTTCTTTCTTCCTTCTTTCAAAAATATTTTGAATATGTATATTATAGTGCTCTGAATGAGCGCTGAGGCTGCATGTAATATCACCGTTTTCAATGATCTTATAGGTTTTCGGGTTTACAGGAGTCGCGGTGAATAATATCGTCAGGTACTTCTTGTGATGGTTCATATTCAGTCTGTTCGAATCGTTCCGCTCGTTGGTGATGGCTGCTGATAGTTCGGCAGTGCTCGGATGCTATTTGGTCCCTGTCATCTGATTTCTGATGATCTATCGTCTGTGCTGTCATACAGGTCATAGAATATGGTATTCTGTGTGTTCAGATGGAGAGTGGAATCAAGCAAGCCTACGACGCCTTCTCTCGACAGGGAGATTCCAGGAGTAAAGAAAGGCAGAACACAACGTGAGTGCAGTGAGCAAATTGAAATTTATCTTATCGTTTCGTATTTGATATTCACTGATAGGGTGGAATTGGAAGCAAGAGGCTGCTGATATCAATTTACTGAAAGAACTCAGATAGAAAATCTTCAAGGATGATCATCACTTCACGTTGGCGTTTGTGTATATAATAGCATATTAACTTCCACACACTCCATTCCCACCTATATCACTGGACACCAGGCTCCACCCATCATAATTTTAAAGTGTAATTTTGTATTCTTTTTGTATTTGTTTTTATAATTTTTTGAATATTCCCTTTTACCCGTATTGCTGACTAATTACGAATGAAATCGATTATTTGTAACGTGAATGATTTAATAAATAAATGAATGAATATTTGCCATTACCTTGTTCCACCTAGCAACCTTACTCACCCCGCCACCCACTGAGTTAGCCTGTGTTTGGTTCCGTCGGAAAGAACTGTGCACCCTCAATACTGATCATTATCACAATCTTCATTATACTCAGACTCTCCTTCAGAGTTGAAGAAACATCAGCATCTCATTTGAAGGACTTTCATATTCAGAATTCCTCACCCTTCAAAATCCAGTAATATTCGCTACATCTCAAAAATCACATTTCTTCAAATCAGTCGCGGCAATAGATTCACACATGTTTCCCGGATTTGAACGTACTATCGAAATTTTCAGTTCTTCATATTTTTTTATTTCTTTCAATCGTAACTTCGACAACACTGTCTGTTTGGTTAAGTAAAGTGGTTCGATAATATTCCCATAGATAATTCTTTTTTCAAATCAGAAACTAAAAGTTGTCAGAGAACGTTCAAATTCGAGAAACCTATGTAAAGTTGGTATAGAAATATTCTTTCTCAGTTAATATCTTCGAAATTCCAATGAATAATTCTAATTTCAACGATTATTCAGGAAAAAATTGATATTTGACATGGTGCTGAAGTTACATAACCCCGACCGAGTGGTTCATTTTTCATAATTTTCAAAGGGAAACTTGAGGCTCAAGTCGAATTCCGAAATTATTTATTATGAATGACATTGTATAATGTTTTTCGAAACCTGAATCAAAATCTAGTGGGTCGTGGTGAAAAAGTTCAGTGTAGCAGAGGACAAGAAAAATATCTTGAGTTAACAACAGATCGAATGAAATAGGCATGAGATAGGTTATAATTCTGTTTTTTATCATGACTGAGAACTCTGGTGATTTCAGACATGTACCTCAAGTATTTGAATAGGTATTTGCTCATGTGAAATCTGGCAATTCTGTATCAATTCTGATTCTAGTGGACATGTAGAAATTTCACAGAAATTTCTACACTAAAGAAAATCGGATATTTAGGTAAGTTTTTTTGATTTCATCCTATAAATAATAATATGTGCTGACTTTTGTGAATACACCAACTGTCCATCGACCTAACCAAAGGTCCTTCAGCTCATCGTGTTCTCTGTATGCTTCTTGACAGACTCCATATGACACTTTGGGAGAAGCCTTAAAACTAGTCCCCTTTCGATATTTTGAATACTAGTCAAACACACATTCACTGAGATATTCCACCATTAGTCAACATGTATTCCACCCGGCGTACGACACGTAGGGTCAGACAGACCCCAGCATCCGAAAACGCTCACAGAACATTTCGAAAAATGAGTTCTCGGGCCTGCGCCGCACAATATCTTTCAATTGAATTTCATATATCGAATATTCAATAAGAGAGTACGTCGCTTGGAAGAAGAATGGGGTGGGCCATACCCCACTTGTGAGTTCTTGAAACTTTTTCAAGCGGTGTCAATTTTGTCCTTGGCCAACTGAGGCCAATTACCATGCCACATAGTTTCTTCAATTCCCAAAGCAATTTTATATTCTCAATTCCAAATCGTTGCTTATAATTCCAAAAATATACAATACGGCTTTCGCCACCGAAGATCTACTGGAGATCTACTTGCCTACGTCACCCATTTATGGCGAGCTTCATTAGAAAAACACGGGGAATCTCAAGCTGTCGCGTTGGACATATCGAAAGCATTCGACCGTGTTTGGCACGAAGAACTCTTCCACAAACTACCATCATACGGCTCACCACCTCAGCTATGCCATCTCTTATCGAGTTTTACTTCAGGC